TCAGTGTGGCTAGACATCCGATTGCCTCAAGCCGGAATAGAAACCTATTTGATTTGGCATCAATCCGAGATTTTACCCCTGAACTATCAGCGCCCGGTAGAGAAGAAGGCGAATTTTTACGTACCTTTTCTTCAAATAAACACGCCAATGGCCTGAAGATTTTCTGACAGTAATCGAGATTTGCTTTTTATTCATACCTAATATATAACTGTATACTATTCATACTTCTTATATTAGTGCTTATTTATTGTTAATATATCACTGTTCTATTCTTACCTCATTATTATTCATACATCATATATTACGAATTATTTATCCCTGTTTTATGGTGATCTTTGAAGTGTAGCTTAGATGATGCACAAGGCCGAATCTATGGGACACCCAGTGATTCACACTTAATTTATGACTGCATATTAATCGTATTCCATATATTACAGCTTTTAAAGTTTCATTGAACGGTGATGTAGTTTCATTCCTCCTCTATGGCAGTGAATGCTGGACAATCTCCTCACAGATCAAGAAGAGACTTGAAGCTTCGAAATGTTTTTCTACATAAGCAAGCTGCGAATACCATGGACCGAAGTTGCGAGCAACAAAAAGGACATTTGTACTTAACATCAGGAAGAAGCTGTTGACATCTCTGAGGCACATAGTGAGGAAAGAGGGATTAGAAAATGTGATACTCACAGAACATTGAAGATAAAAGGGTAAGAGGGAAGGAATGCACAACCTACCTTGAGCGAAAGGATGGCAGAACAGGTTTTGGGAGAGATGGCACAAAGACAACAGTTTATTAAGAGTTACAAATCACACACAATTGTGGAGAGCCATGGTCGCCAAATTCCTGAAAGAACAAGGTACATAAAAAAAGATATAACTGCTAATATTTCCATCATATATCATCGCATATTAATAATACCTCATATATTACTGCTTATTATTCATATTTAATATATCACTTTATTCATCATATTTTGTATATCACCGCTTGATACTCAAATTTCATATATCACTATTTATTATAAAACCAATTATTATTATTATTATTATTGGTGGTGGTGGTGGGGTTCCTGTTGTTAAAACAATTGTTTTAAGGTTAAATAGTATAAAATAATTGACTATACAGAATAAATAGTAAAAATAAACGTGGCAATAGAAAGATTCCAATGCTTCTCCTTTTCTTTCTTTTCACGTGCCGTGTCCCTTTAGGACATGGGCGATCATGGCTCTCCACTTCCCCCTATCCCTTGTAGCTCTCAATAAGTTTTGTTTCTTTGCTACTTCCCCCAGACCATGTTCTGTCATCCACTTGCTTAAGCCCGCCAGGTATATCATGGGTTGCTTTTCCTTGTCTCTCTTTCTCTCTATTCGACCTGTGAGTATCAGATTCTCCAAGCCCTCCTTTCTCATTACGTGTCCCAGAAATTTCATCTGCCTCTTCCTGATGTTAACCATAAGCTTCCTCCTTGTTTGCATCCTCTCCAAAACCTCATCGTTGCTCACACGCTCGTTCCATGATATCCTTAGTATCCTCCTGTAGAACCATACATCCGTTGCCTCGAGCCGTTTCTTCATCTTTGAGGAGACCGCCCAACATTCGTTGCCGTAAAGGAGGACAGATGTCACGTAGCAGTTCAGTACGCTTTTATTTGTTAAATCCTCATGTCTCGTGTCTTAGTAATTTCTTTTCCGTATCTGCTATCAGTACTGTGTCATCTGCGCATCTTATGTTGTTAAACGCTTCTCCTACAAATTCGAAAATACCTTTTTTTTTCTTAAAAATGCTAAAACATAAGTAAATGAATAAATAATCAAAGATCAGTTATTCCTACCAAATATCTATAAAGCAGTTAGCAAATACTATGTAGTAAATATTCATAATAACATTATTTCATTAAGACTATTTTTAAGGCAAGTGATGAATACCAATTAACTGAATGAAAAAACAAATAATAACCATAATACATAAATAAAATGAGTATTAATAAAAAGATTAAGTAAATAATCATAACTTCACTTCAGTTACATGGCTGATGCGGCAGATATTTTCTACAGTAGGTTGCCATTTCTTTCTGAGGTAGACCAGTTGCCATCTAAGACTATAGAACTCGGTCTGTACCGCTATTTACCTATATGTAGAGGGAGAAGAAAAGGATTCATACCTTTCCTAAGGGTATTAGCCCGTAAGCGAATGTAAGGGATTCGACTGGAATTCGAACTGGGCTCTGCGATTCCTCAATCCGAGCCGCTACCCCTTACTCCACCGTGCCTCCTGTCCTAGCTTTACTTCAGCCAGTTATGTGCCATGCGTGATACACGCTTAGGCGATCATGTATCTTTCGATACATGACTAACGAGGCAGATTTTTTTCTCACAGTAGGTTACCATTTCTTTCTGCTGTAGACCAGTTTCGATCCAAGGCTATAGAACCCGATCTGTCCTATTATTTACTCATAGCTGGAGTGAGAAGAGGAGGATTTCATATCTTTCCCAAGGATAAGGGAATGTAATGGATTCGACTGGAATTCAAACTCGGCTCTCCGATTCTTCAATCCGAGCCGCTATCCATTACTCACTTTTCTTTAAAAAAGAAATCGCTTTCTTGGAGTGATGAAAATAATGTCCGTTCACTGCGACTGCCAATGTTCTTTTATCGTTTATGATTAATTATAGTTTTATAAAAAAACATATGCGGTATTAATTATAGCTTTATAAAAAGTATAGCCCGTTTATATGTTCCGTCATCATTTTGGGAACAGTGGGCTAATGGGTTTTGGGTTCAGCTGTAGGTAAATATGTATATAAATAGTCTCTAAACTGGATGTTCAGGTGGCGTAATGAGTAACGGCTCGAGAATTCGGAGGGCCGAGTTCGAATTCCAGTAGAGTTCGTTACGTTCACTTATGAGCAAATACCTTTGGATTAAATAGTAGAAGTTATATCTGGAAAAATCATCGTTATTCTAAAAAAATTGTAATATTCACTCGCAAAAAAAATCTTACTCCCCTCTCCACCAAAAAAATATCCAAGCTATGGGTTAAATAGCAGGACAAATTAGGCCTTATAGCTTTGGTTGGCAACCAGTCTACCGCAGAAAGTAACAGCAGCCTACTGCGGAAATTCTTTCTGTCAAGTCGAAAAGAGATATGATCACCCAAGCGTGCATCACGTATGGCACCTAAGAAAAGTAGGAAAAATATGTTTCGGCTTTAAATAACCTACACAGGGTTGATAATGTGTAAAAAAAACAAAAAAAAACAAGTCCATTCAATCAATTCTCTAAGCTTACTTTATTTTGGCACAATGCTAACATTCGGGGAAATGAAGAGAAAGAAGTGGCTTTGGTGTAAAAGCGCCTTTTGCCTTGAAAATCAGCATTCGAAATTCGAAGCATTCGGATCCCGTCCTGTGAGAAAATTGTAACTATCTCCACTACTAGGTCTGTGTCTCGTTAGCTACCTGCCTCCCCCAAAAAAAACCCGTATGTTTATTCACTCATGTATAACCTATGAACAATGACGTTCAACCCACAATTAGGCGTTCTGTAATAAACAGTCGTCTTGCGTATAATTTACGGCTAGAGAAGGGGATAAAGGGTTTCGCTGCGCTCAGCACCAGAAATTGTCCATTGACGGAGCCTGGCACGACCAAAGGTAACGGAGAAACTATTTTATAGATGCAGCAAGCAACCCTAATAACTGGAATTAAGCTGGTGTTACAGACTAAATTCGGTTTCGTCTTTGATCACTCATGGGAATTACGGGCGACTGGGTGATGAGCGATGGGTGGTTGATGTGCTCGTCCCGTAATCGGTAGGGACAGGGTGCGGATTATCTTGCTATGTCGTTGGGGTCGGGTCTGTACCAGAAAAGAAAAGAAAAAAAAAGAGAGAGAAAAAATGAGAGTTTAGGTGATAATGACTGCGATGAATGAAATGAACGAAGGAAAGAAATAATGAAGGTTAGAGAGATGGGGATGGTTGGATAAAGAGAAAGGAGGAGGCAGGGAGGAAAGAAAGGTGAGGGATAGGTGGAGGAGGTATAAAAGTAAAAATGAAAGTGGCTTCTTTTTTATTAGTGGAAAACGAAGATGGAAGTTCTTTTATATGCCGCGTCTATTTAGGGCGTTAGCGGTCATGGCTCCCGACAATTTTTCTGTCTTTTGAGCATCTTAATAAATTTTGTCTTTTTGCCATTTCTCCCAAATCCTACTCCGCCATCCATTAACTCACCAGGTAGTTTATGCGTTGCTTTCCCCTGTCTTTCTTACCTTCCATCCTTCCTGTGAGTATCAAATTTTCCAAACCCTCTTTCCTTATTATGTGCCCTAGACGTATCAAAACTTGCTGATTATTTTAAATGTCGGATATAAATCTTATAAGGCAATGAATTAATAAATAAATAGTGTCAAAAAGGTAGACGTTGGTTTAATTTATACCCGAATCTACAAGAATCCCCCCGAAGGCGACTCCCTTTGAAAAAGTAGTTTTAGCAATCTTGCCCCTTCTGGAGGGGATTCAATCGACATATTTCAAGTGTCGCCGACAGATCAAATTAAAAGAAAGAAGAAAAAGCATTAAGAAAAAGACAAACAAAGGAAAGAAAAAATGAAAAGTAAATGACAAAGAAGGAAAAAGTAAACGAAAAAGTAGAGGAAAGGGAATGAAAGAAAAAAAAAGGAACGAAATGACAAAAGATAGAACGGAAGTAAGAGTTAAAAGGAAAAAAAGAGGAAAATATCAAAAATGAAAGAAAAGAAGGAAGGAAGAGAAGAAATACTAAATGAAAGAGAAAAAGAAGAGAAAGAAAAAATAATAGAAAAAAGAAAGGCGAAAATAGGAGAGAGAATGAAAGAAAAAAGGTGGGGAAAATGGGAGAAATGAAAGGAAAAAGATGAGAGAAAATGAAGAAATAATAAATGAAAGAAAAAAGAACGAAAGAAAGAAAAAATAGAAAGAAGAACCGAAAGGAAAACAGGAGAGGAAAAAAAGAGAGAAAAAACGAACGAAAAAGGAAGAAGCAAAGAAAAGAGAAAGAAATGAATGAAGAAAGAAATAAATGAATAATCAAATTCATGAAGTATTTCTATATGTAGGAAAAAAGATAGGAAGGAAAAAAGTAGTCAAAAATGAAAGAAAGAAAAAGCAAGTAAATAAATAAACAAAAATAGGATACAGGGCAAAAATGGAGGAATGACGAAGTGAGAAAGAAAAGGGTTAAGGAGTGAATAAAAAAGAGAAAGAAAAAGAGAGGATAAATAAAAGATGAAAGATGTAGAGATAGGAAGAAGAAGAAGAGGAATTTTCTCTAATAATAGGTTTCTTTTGAATGGAGATGTTGAAGGTGTTACGGTTTTTTGGGTATATATGGCATATAACTAGTGAGCGAGTCAGAATGACTTATTTCCCTTTATAGTCGACCAATAGAAGGTTGACCAATCAGAAGCCGCCCAACACTGTATTCATAGTGTATAAAGGCGGCCATCTTGTTTCCTCCTACCAGAAGGACAAAAGGCGACCAGGAGAAGGATGAACTACACTCTGCTGTGATATCCACTGCAAACCTTCACTACGCTTTCCTACTGTCTCCGAAATATTCACTGCCAACCTTTGGATGCGATACTCGAGGATCGACCGTCATGAAAATGTCTAACAGAAGGCTATACTATATCTAGGCACAATTCATTTCATTTTTGGATCCTTGTAATTCTATTTTTCATTGTTTCAAAATGAATTTTCTTTACTGGACAAGGGAACACATTCTCATAGTGCTTTAATTCCATTTAAAGTACCTCTTAATTGATATTGTTTCCAGGTCTACGCTGACCCGACGTGATGGCACCCGTTAGGGTCCCAGCTATGGGCAAATAGTGAAACCCCAAATAAAACACTATGGAATTATAAAAATACACTTTTATAGTAAAATGCCAGCAATATATTTTTATGTAAAAAATAGCAACAACTAGCAGCATGGCCCGGCGTTGCCCGTCCTTGATTCAAAAATCGTACGACTCATACAGCAATCACTATCACTTGACTTAAAATATTTTTGCCCTTCCTTGCCTTTAAAGGAGTGCTCTTTGCCGTGCTGATGTTGCTACATGCCTTACTTCTTGCCTATCTCACACTGCGATTTTTTTTCTAAGCTCTATACTAAACATTACATCTGTTACGAAAAAAGAACTAAGCAAAATGGACACAAAACGATCAGCTTTAAAAAAAAGGACTCGTAACCGGAAAAACCAAATGAAAAAAGAATGTTAACAACAAATACTTTTTCACACTCAACCCAGTTCTGCGGAATCAGAATCAACGTTGAGTTTAAGCAAGCGAATGAGCCAATTGGAGTAAAGTGCCATGCAGATTAAATTTTTCCCACTTGTGACGAATGCAGCTATCGATTTTTTTTGCATGCTAGCATGCAGTTGGCTCTCACGCTGGCCAATAGAATCTTCCTGCCTATTCGTGGCAGCCAGCTATTGGCTCGCACACTGGCCAGTACAAAATGGCCGCAAACTACATGAAAACTGAGGTATAAGCATGAAAAAAATCGATTATTTCCACTATCGATGGGAGTTGGGAAATGCAAAGTAGGTCTTGACATTCCCGATAACTTGGAGCATGTGCATGTAAATTTTGGTGCAAATCCGTCGAAAATTGCGGCTGTGAATTCGTTACACACACACACACACACACACACACACACACACACACACACACACACACACACACACACACGCATCCTGCCTTTTATAGATAGAGATACCTATTTATAGTGAAATTAGTCAGAATACATTTTCAAAGCAACATGAACAGCAATACATTTGAATCTATAGTTGAAGTTTAAATATATTTTGAACGCATTTGTATATGCGTTCAAAATATATTTAGTTGAAGCGATAAAATTGTTTAAATTATTTCAGCATTAAATAACCCACAGAGGTTGATATGCTGCTAAACAAAACCAACTAAACATTCATCAAATGCTCATAAAATTGATGAAGAAATACTTTGATGAGAAGCAGGTGAGTGTTATGACATGGGCGCCCCAATCTCCTGACCTCAACCCCATAGAAAACTTATGGAGCATTATAAAATAAGGCTCTCGAGAAAGCAGTTGAGCAACATGCTCCATAAGTTTTCTATGGGGTTGAGGTCAGGAGATTGGGGCAGCCATGTCATAACACTCACCTGCTTCTCATCAAAGTATTCCTTCATCAATTTTGATTTGTGACAGGGGGCATTATCCTGCATAAAAATGAGCTTGGTGGGGTCGATTTGCACCCTTTCAGCAGAAGGGAGCAGAAAAGACTCTAAAATTCTCTTGTACTATCTATCTATCTATCTATCTATCACCACTTCCGGTATAAATAAGATAGTTGGTGTGCACCAAAAATAACCGTCCATCAAGCCACCTGATGAGATCATAAGATCGAGAACTGGGTAGGAAAGGTACTATTCCATATTAACATATTTATTGTGTAGTTCTATTGGGGCCCCACTTCTTTATTGGATGTCCAGAATTTAGCATTTTAATCGTGCCTTTTTATGCGTGGCCTCCTTACAGCCTATTTTTGCAAATATTTATTCATTTATTAACTTGCAAATTTTTACAAATTTTAGGCGTGGCCGATTTGAAGGCTTCTTTTAAGAAGCTTTAGCATTTTATATTATAAAAATATGTATATAGAAATCTATATTTTTATTACTTCAAACGTTAGTTTGATATCTGTATTTGAGTAGATGCCCCGTTTTCTTAAACAGTATTTAAAAAAAAAAATACGGTAAATCTACCTAAATGATTGTATCTGCTAAAAATAACGTTTGAGGCAATAAATCCATTAATTCGTGAAAATTATATATATATATATATATATATATATATATATATATATATATATATATATATATATATAGAGAGAGAGAGAGAGAGAGAGAGAGAGAGAGAGAGAGTTTATGAAACCTAGGTAATCCGTATGGGTAGACCCAAGGAGGATAAAATCCAGAGAGCTCAATGTAAATCCAGAGCAAATAATTTAAATAAAAACAGACCACTTTAAGGTTCCATGTAATAAATTCTTTCACCACAGCCCTTTACTTTAAAAGTTGAACGAAAAAAAAAAAATTTTTTTTCGTTTCAACCTTTGAAGTAAAGTCTGATGATCCGCAGTCCTTTAAAGGGGCTGTGGTTAAATAATTTATTACATGGAACCTTAAAAATGGTCTGTTTTTATCTAAATATATATATATATATATATATATATATATATATATATATATATATATATAATATTATTAATGGTCAATATGTATACATAGTTCCAAAAGGATAAAATCCAGGTAGAGCTCTATGTCTATGAACCCAATGAAATAAATTAAAACCATGAAATATTAGTGTGAGACTATATATATATATATATATACATACTTCTTTTTTTTAAGAATTAATGGATTTTATTTTTTTATGTATTTATATAATTATTGGTTTATTTTTTATGTATGTATATAATTATTGGTTAAAATAGAACATAATTGTTTACGAAAAAATCACTTCGTTAGCCTACTAATGACAATGTTGTTGTAACCTAGGGAAGGTTGTTGAATAGAATAATCAAACGAAGGTTGGTAATGAACGATAATACTCAGAACAAGAACAACACATATAAGATTCACCATCAGCGCGTAGAAAAAGTAGTCAACTGTTAGAAGTGTGTTAAATGAATTCCACAATCGATCGCCAATTACAGGATATCTACCAACCACCCCACGCGGTCAGATGTGACACAAGGCCGAATTTAATGTGGGTTATTCGAGCTCGTAGGCTCGGCCAAAAATTCACCGTAGACCCCGTTTAAAACAGTGTCGGGTAACTGTTTTCCGAGACGAGACTCTGCCCTTCGAAATAACCTCGTCTGGGGATCCTCTCTGTAAATACTGTACGTTGGTCTTCAGTTGGAGATTCGTCTCCAACTGCATACCAACTACTGTATTTATGTGAATGGGGACATACCCATTATCGTCAGTAGGTATGCTACAACAGTTACCAACTATAAACACACGTCAAAAAAATATTACATTACCAACCATTACTGAATCCATTCTTGAAGTGTAGATAAAATTAGGTCCAAACAATAGGAAGGGAACAGGTTGGCCTGGCACCGCCTACTTCGGGAAGAAACAAAACTCCTTAGCTTCACGACAGTTTAGCTACAAAATTCCACTGATCTTTCCACTCAATTATTCAAACACCGCCTCGTAGTTCGCTACACACAAAAAACTCCCGAGTCACATTTATTGCCGCGAACGCCGACTCATCTACTTCCGGCCCAGTTCAAGTCTCGCCAATCCTCGCAGATCCGAGATCGCGTTTTCCATAAGTCCGACTCACCGTAATGGCGGTGTTTCTCTTCGGATTAATTACTGCCCTGCACACCAGACACAAACGAACCCTCTTATGTCGAGAGCTAAATTTAGTCTCGCTTTCATGTCCATATGAAGAATCTAACGAATCTAAAACAAACGATATGTATGTAAAAACCATTCCAAATCAGCATGCGAAAAACCAAGAAACAAGCCTAGATACACACACACGCACACAGACGCATACACAGAGTTACAAATATACATTATCACCTGAATCCCACATAGACAAACTAGAAGTTTCATACAGTAACAAACATATAACAATAATGATAGTTTTTCAAGAAGATTTGGAATCCGTCCATTTCTTGAAACTTCGGATGGACGCGTCGTCTCTCCTTGAATTCAGAACGACACAAATTCCACTAACCTTGATTTAAAAGGTCGAATTTACATGAAACATAATTAATCAATGAAAATCAATGAAGACAAAAGTAAAAATACCGGTATTTCTTTCTTCTTTTTCTCCATATCTCATTCTCTGAAGTTTTATTAAAAGCGAAATATGTTAGATTGATAAATGTTTTCTAATTGCTATGTATCTTATCAATTTCGGATTCCGGGCCATATTTGATCTCTATTTGATACAAACTGGTATTTCTAAATATAAAAAAAAATATAGTTTTGAATTTACATAAATATATACATATACACAAAAATACACATATACAGAACATAATATTACTTCAAATGTTATTATTGCTGAAAATGTCAGATTGAAAATAAATACATTAATTCTTTATTTATAAAATATAATATAATATAATAATACTCACAAAGAAAAATAAAATAAATAAATAAACATATGTAGCGTATACATAAGGTGGGGGTGGCAATAACTGAAATAATCTGTTTGAACCATCAGCACTCACTGTGCACTAATACATCTATCTATACACACACACACACACACACACACACACACACACACACACATACATATATATATATATATAGCCTGTTTACCCTGAAGATCCGTTTAGGTGAAATCTAGGTAGGTTTACCTGGCTCATTAGGGTTTATTCTAATTTACTGCTCTACTCAGCGTATTGAGCCCTCTACGGTTTAGTCTTTCTACTCGTTTGGTTTTTTTTTTCTTTGAACTAAGGACTTAAGACACTTGACGATTTGTTTCGCCTTGTTCGAATGTTTTTAGTTCTTTCTTTTTTTTCCTCGGGTACCAATTTTCCATCAGGTGTCTACAAGTTGAGTTAGCCGACGTTTTTCAAGCGAGTAACACTGTTAATATATATATATATATATATATATATATATATATACACACACATATATGGTGGACTCTCCCGTCGTATTTGACGTATGAGGGTCAAGCAGCTCAGTTCCTCGGAAGCGACAGCCAGACACCAGCAAATATGATTTGATTATAGTGGTGAAAGCTTTGTACAGAACCAACCTCACTTTTTGAAGGGACGATTAAGGAGACCTGGTGCACTACATGCCTCAAGGTACCCAAACAACTCTCCGCAGGTTTTGAATTTAGAGTTGTCAATCTCCTATATCAGTTGCCATCCAAGGTTATGGAGCCCAGTCTGTCCTCCTATTTGCTCATAGCTGAACGAAGAAGAAGAATAATACGTTTCTCAAGGGTATTAGTACGTAAGTGAATGTAATGCATTTGAAGTGAATGTGATGGATTCAACTGGAATTCGAACTCAATCCGAGCCGCTATTCACTACTCCAACGTGCCTCCTTCCAAAAATATACTTCTGAGGTTTCATCCTGGTAATAACCATGTTTCAAAAATGGAATTAAATTAAAAGCATTAGTTCCATTTCATCTTCAAGCGAATAGTGGATTCCAATATTCGCTTGAAGATGAAGTGGAATTAATGATTTTAATTTAATTACGAAATTAAATTTGAAGTTTTTAGTTTCCATTTTTGAAACATGGTTATTACTGTGTAGCGGTAAAAGAATATTTTAAATCAGTTAATTTATAATATTTATGCTCTGTAAATTTACATTGAGCACTGTTTTGTAAAAATAAAAAAAATATGAATAGGAACACTGGATTATATATCTTACGGTTCTATCTTTATATATATATATATATATATAGTTATTGCTGACGCGTTTCGTCCAATGTGGACTTTTTCAAAGCAAAAAACGAAATGAATTTAATTAAAGAACGTAACTAATAATAACAAAAAACAGAATGTTCTTAGCAACGGGAGGAATGTAGAGAACGCTATTTTCATATTGTTAACTGAAAATAACGTCATTTATTGTCACGTGTGGAGAATATTGTCATTATAACTGTGTTGATGGATTCAACCATTTTCTTTTGATTTTACGATATTGTTGTGTACGCTTGTTTGGGAGAGCAGTAATTTTGTTAAGAAAGGTGAAATAGGGAAAAAGCCTCGGCGTAGATCAATATTTGGGTAATATTCTATGGCGGCACTCTCTAGAATTTTCCTTCTGAGTGAGTTATTTTCTTTTTTTATGAGTGTAGAATTTTTAAAATCAAAATTATAGTTGAATTTATTTCTATGTATGACTAGTGCATTAGCTAAGTTGTTTTTGTGAGGTCACTTTTGTGCTCATAAATGCGTTTTTTTCAAATTCCTACTTGTTTCGCCAAGATATATATATAAGTGAACATTGAAGTCTACACTCAGAGGCGACATACTGTTTCATGCTAGACGCAGTCGTCAGGCTGCGAGTGTTCTCGTCTAGCATGAACAGTCTGTCGCCTCTGAGTTTTGACTTCAACGTTCACTTTTATATTTACATACACATTATCTCTGATATTGAGTACTTTATCCCATAAATATAACAGACCTTAAAACTATATTTCTTTATATATATATATATATATATATATATATATATATATATATATATCTATCTATCTATATATATATATATATATATATATATATATATATATATATAATATAAAGTGTACATTGAAGCCAACACTCAGAGGCGACAGCCTGTTTTATGCTAGACGCAATCGTCAGGCCGCGAGTATTGGATTTTTTCTCGACTATTTAAATATATGGGTCCGTGGTGCATTGTGGGTAATTCATTCATTCATATATATCTATTTCCATACCAGATGATGTCTGTATGCACAGATGAAAGCTTGTAAAAAATAAAAAAAGAACTTATGCCACTGGAATTTATAAGCAGGGATCATAACATTCATCTACAGGTTCGGGGTTAATGTACTTTATTAAATTTGTTTGCGAAGATGTAATCTCACCATTTATATCATTAACTTCTATATCTGTTTTTTGTATGAAAGAAAGAAAAAAAGAGAAGAAAAAGAAAGACGAAGAAAAAAGAGAAGAAAAGAAAGACGAAGAAAAAAAAGAAAAGAAAAAGAAAGACGAAGAAAAAAGAGAAGAAAAAGAAAGACGAAGAAAAAAACAAAAAGAGAAGAAAAAGAAAGACGAAGAAAAAAAGAGAAGAAAAAGAAAGACAAAGAAAAAAACAAAAAGAGAAGAAAAAGAAAGACGAAGAAAAAAAAGATAAGTAAAAGAAAGACGAAGAAAAAAAAGAGAAGAAAAAGAAAGACGAAGAAAAAATGAAGTAAAACGACAAAAGAAAAAAAGGCAGACCTTTGCCAGCACAAAATCTAGTGTTACCAATGCCACTACAAACTTGACTAAGGGAGATCTATAGCATTAAGCAACCAAATGGAACACAGGTACTCAGATCAAAAGTTTCACACTATGTCATCGTCAGACGACAAGAATCGCTTCAAGAAATATTCATTGCAAATCATTTTAATCTTGAAATCCATTAAAAATAAAGAAGAAATAATTTTCACTCAGGAATAAATGCATGTTTTAGCGACAGGCAGAAAAGTGCTATTACATATATAATTGCCAAGTTGAAATGCTTTAAAGCGACAATTTGGCCAGCGATGCTGTTTTTTTATTCTCACTTGACGAAAGTGACCTTGTGCTGAAGTTAATTTGTCAACAAATATTTTCTGAATTACGAAGATTCACTGTGTAATAATACAAACGAATATTGCAATAATTACGTTACCTCGAACATTCGTACACACATACACATGCACACACCTTTTAGCGAAGTGTACAATGATTACACCTCTTAACGTTGCTCAAATCACCAATAAGCGGGAAGCCATTTTATTCACACGGGTATAAGCATACCTCAGGGTCACGACCAGAATCAACCATTTTGTAATCCGGCCCGATGATTAAACGTTATAATAGCCGAGTTAATTGGTGTCGCTAGTACACAACGTTGTGGTAACTTTTTAATGATATAAATTGTAAGGGTGACAAAATTGTGACTATTTTAAAACGTTATTATGATCTTGTGAACCAGCTTTTCGGCCGTCAGACATTTTTTCTGATATTGTTATTTTGTGTACTTTTTTTTTGCTTAAAGAAAAGGTCACATGATTAAGATTCCAATTCCCTACCCTGTCTCTACTCGCCACCCGCCTCTTTTACATATCTATATTTATATATAGAAGGTCATAATTAAGTAACACTTTCAGTAATATTTTCTCCTGATTCTGAGCGCGGCTAACTGATACCATGGATAAGGAGGTCACTATATATATATATATATATATATATATATATATATATATATATATATATATATATATATATAAAATATATATAATGCAAACCAAATACATTCTAATTATAAAAAAAAATGAAAATATCCTAAAAGAAATTAATAAATACTAATATATCCACCACAAATCCTAGTAAAATATAAAATTAATTATATACTACACTAACTCTAGTGTGTCTAATTCAATCATTCGTAACGACTCGTAATATAGAGTCGTTACGAATGATTGAATTAGATATACTAGAGTTAGTGTAGTATATAATTAATTCTATACTTAAAATAAGTATTTATTTCATTTGATTTCTGGTTCAAACAAAACAATGCTCAATGTAGTTAAATAGAGCTAAGTAGGTCACTATATATATATATATATATATATATATATATATATATATATATACAAGGTAACCAAAAAAGTTCTGTCCGTTTTTAAAGAAAAAGAAAACGCTTCACAGTATGTGTAACTTATATTTAGTCTTCGAAGTAATCGCCATCGGCATCCAGCACCTTCTGTAACGTGTCTCCAGCTGTTCAATGCCCTTGCTTTTGACGCAAAGAATTCCGTGAGGGCTTTGCGCAAGTCTGCTTCATTGATGAAGGATTTCCCACAAAGATGATTATCCAGGTAGTGGAAGAGGTGGTAATCGGATGGCGCAAGGTCAGGTGAATAAGGTGGATTGCACAAAGTCTTCCACCCAAGTTGCTGTATGGTATCCCTGATCACTCGCGCGACATGCGGCCTGGCGTTGTCATGGAGGAAAAGCACACCTTTGCAATTCACCAGTGCTGGCTCCTTCTGGTTCTGGTCTTGCGGTGTGAGGGACAGCATCCGGAGGAGACAACCAATGTCTGGAACGCTTAGGAGTTTCGTACAGAACCCACTTTTCATCACTGGTAAGCACTCGATTGAATAAGGATGCGGTACGGTGGCGAGAAAGCAGCGATACGCAAGCTGGCACTCGTTGTCCCGTTTGGACCTCAAACAGCGTTTGCGGGACCCACTTGCTCTTTTTGTACGTCTTACCTAGGCTGTGCAGGTGAAGTCTAACTGTTTCATCGGAAACGTTGAACTGTCTTGCAATTTCACCACACGTTAGACTACTTCCTCTTCAATGGCCGCCTTCAGGACTCCGTCATTCAAGACCTGTGGTCGTCCACTGCGAGGCTCATCATGGAGAGACAAATCTCCTGACTTGAATTTTCGAAACCAACGCCTTGCAGTACGTTCATCCACAGCACTATCCCCAAACGCTTGACATATTCGGCGACTTGATGCAGCTGCTAAGCCCACTTTGAATTCGTAAAGCAAACAGCCCCGAACGAGATCTCTAGACACTTCCATCCTTCTCACAGCTGTCCGGCTTATAACTGATGGCCGGGCATGGTGCGCGTGTTTTTTTATAACGTCTGATGTTCTTACTTCTGGCTGTCCAAATTTGAAAACAAATGCTACACGCATTTCATATATATTTCAACTTCATTCAATGACTAATCAAAAAACGGACAGAACTTGTATATAGCAATGCTAATAAATATGTTGATATATCGTCCAAGTAGATCCTAGTAATATAAAGTATAAAACTGATCCACAAAAAGTGCTCAATGTATTTATTATAACAGAGCCAATCTATACACCGGAGTTGAATAAAACTGACGAAGTCTTCGTCGGTTGAAATAGATCTATCCCTCATGGCGCAATTTTGTATTTGTTGTGTCATACTCATACTACACACACACACACACACACACACACACACACACACACATATATATATATATATATATATATATATATATATGGGGAAAACGATGCATGATAAGGTGCAAAAAATCATTCGTTTCGTCTTTTAGGATTTTATTGAACTAAAATGAAGTTTACGTCGATATGACTACTACGCATGCGCACGAAGGAGTCGGGAAGCTGAAATTTTAACTGGTAAGTGTGTTTGGATTTCATTTAGTTTATTCTGCTTTTTGTTTATGTTTTTATCACTTTTATTATATGATTATAGAAAATCTGCCAAGAAAGGTGAAAATCTGTCAAGAAAGGTGAAATGTTGTAGTCACGAAATAAGACAAAAGGAAAACTTTTCTTTACCAAGGTTTTTTGTCCCTTTAGAAAGTTTATCAAAATAAACGTGAAAATTTTATTTTGCAACTTGTACACACAAAAGTAAACTTTGGAGAAAATATCGCTAAGTTTTAAAATTTTAAATTTGAGAACGCTCGAAAATATTCCTAATGCGAATTGTGTAAAGAAATTTAAACTATGTTATTCGCTAAGGGATGAAATTTATTACCAAATCTTTCTTCCTTCAACTCACTTTTCATTCTTTAGTTTCTTTTTCCTCCTTCCATCTGTTTTCCTCCATTTCTCTCATTCTTTACAATCTTTTTTTTTCTTCCTTCCATTTTTCTTCTTCCACGTCCCCATCCATGAGAATCATTTTCTTCCTTCTTTCTTTCTTCTACCAATTCCTCATTCTTTAGAATATTTTCTTTGCTTTCATCCATTTTTTTTCTTCTTCCACGTCCCCATCCATGAGAATCATTTTTCTTCCTTCTTTCTTTCTTCTACCAATTCCTCATTCTTTAGAATATTTTTCTTGCTTTCATCCATTTTTCTTCTTCCACGTCCCCATCCATGAGAATCATTTTCTTCCTTCTTTCTTCTTCTACCAATTCCTCATTCTTTAGAATATTTTTCTTTTTCATCCATTTTTCTTCTTCCACGTCCCCATCCATGAGAATCATTTTCCTTCTTTCTTTCTTCATTCTTTAGAATATTTTTCTTGCTTTCATCCATTTTTTCTTCTTCCACGTCCCCATCCATGAGAATCATTTTCTTCCTTCTTTCTTTCTTCTACCAATTCCTCATTCTTTAGAATATTTTTCTTGCTTTCATCCATTTTTTTTCTTCTTCCACGTCCCCATCCATGAGAATCATTTTCTTCCTTCTTTCTTTCTTCTACCAATTCCTCATTCTTTAGAATATTTTTCTTGCTTTCATCCATTTTTCTTCTTCCACGTCCCCATCCATGAGAATCATTTTCTTCCTTCTTTCTTTCTTCTACCAATTCCTCATTCTTTAGAATATTTTTCTTGCTTTCATCCATTTTTCTTCTTCCACGTCCCCATCCATGAGAATCATTTTCTTCCTTCTTTCTTTCTTCTACCAATTCCTCATTCTTTAGAATATTTTTCTTGCTTTCATCCATTTTTTTCTTCCACGTCCCCATCCATGAGAATCATTTTTCTTCCTTCTTTCTTTTCTTCTAAATTTCATTCTTTAGAATATTTTTCTTGCTTTCATCCATTTTTCTTCTTCCACGTCCCCATCCATGAGAATCATTTTCTAATTTCTTTCTTCTACCAATTCCTCATTCTTTTAGAATATTTTTTGCTTTCATCCATTTTTCTTCTTCCATCCCCATCCATGAGAATCATTTTCTTCCCTTCTTTCTTTCTTCTACCAATTCTCATTCTTTAGAATATTTTTCTTGCTTTCATCCATTTTTTCTTCCACGTCCCCATCCATGAGAATCATTTTCTTCCTTCTTTCTTTCTTCTACCAATTCCTCATTCTTTAGAATATTTTTCTTGCTTTCATCCATTTTTTCTTCTTCCACGTCCCCATCCATGAGAATCATTTTCTTCCTTCTTTCTTTTTCTACCAATTCCTCATTCTTTAGAATATTTTTTCTTGCTTTCATCCATTTTTCTTCTTCCACGTCCCCATCCATGAGAATCATTTTTTCCTTCTTTCTTTCTTCTACCAATTCCTCATTTTTAGAATATTTTTCTTCTTTCATCCATTTTTCTTCTTCCACGTCCCCATCCATGAGAATCATTTTCTTCCTTCTTTCTTTCTTCTACCAATTCCTCATTCTTTAGAATAATTTTCTTTTTTTCCTCCCATTTTTTTATCTTCTAATTCCTCATTTTTTACAATCATTTTCATTTTTCTTTTTCTTCCTTCTCTGTTATTTCTCTCTCATTCTTTTATCATTATTTTTTCTTTGTGCCGTTGACTTCTCAGCAACATGTTTCAAAATTTCTTTCTGTTTCTTTTCTCTGACAGCCATTATTTGAATTTGTGGAAAAATCTTCGTCTTGTAATCAACAAGAAGAAAGAAAAGAAAATCCTTCTTAAGCCGGCTTATTTTATTTTCAATAGCAAAAAATAAACAAATAAACAAAGCGGCTAATGTGAAATTATATTAACAGAATTTTGCCCCCTTTTTCCGTTTCATCTTTTTGTTGTGATCAATCACAGTTCTCGCTCTTTCTACCCTTTTATTAAGTTTATTTCATCAATACTGTTTTGTAGGGGAGTACCGAAAAGAATATATTCGTTGTATGTATGTTTTGTGTTCTGTGTTAACATCTCTTATCTCTGTGTCGTGGATTCTGTAGATATTTGTATGAGTATCAATTGTCTGTCTTGATGTGTACCTGTTTGCTCTACCGAACGCTGTCTGACAGAAAGTTGCCATCATTAAGTACCCAGGGAGAATAAAATTCCACAGTGGAGTAATGTGCTTGGTAGCGGCTCGGATTGTGGAATCGGAGAGCTGAGTTCAAATTCCAGTCGAATCCATCACATTCACTTACGTGCTAATACTCTTGGAAAAGGTATGAATCCGCTTCTTCTCCCTCCAGCTATGGGTAAATAGCAGGACAGACCGGGTTCTATAGCCTTGGATGGCAACTGGTCTACTGCAGAAAGAAATGGCAACCTACTGCGGGAAAAATCTACCTCGTCAGTCATGTATCGAAAGATACATGATCGCTTAAGTGTGTATCACACTTGGCACATAACTGACTGACGGCAGAAAACGTTTGCTAGATTATTTTGCTTGAAACTACCATGTGACTGGAAACTTTTGACTTTTTGAAACTTTTTACTTATAAAACTTGAAAAACAAAAGAAGAGTAATCAGGAGAAGAGTAGATAGCGATTGACATTGCATTTGAATTTTTGAAGATTATAGTTGACTGGAAACAATTGAGCCGGAAGGGAGTTTCACAAACGAGAAGTGCGAGAAAAGAATAGAACTTCCGGTTAAATCTAGCCATCTCAACTGTAAACTGATGAGACCTCGCCGCCAGTCTAGTACTGCGCTTAAATTTAAAAAATGTCTAGGTACCATAGCGAAGAGCTCATCAGAACGAATACCACAAAAATATTATGTTTTAAATTTAGCATTTTAATTATTAGCCTTTTTTTATTGTTACTTTCTATCACTATTTGTTGTAAAGTGGTTTCACAATGGAGGCTTGTATTTGTACTAAGTCGGTCCTAAAATAGGTTCGACGTACAAAACGTTAGGAACTTGATATAATAGGTAATGACGCAGAGAAATCTAGTGGTGGTGGCTGATACTTTTAGTATCCGACTAAGGGTCGTCCGACATCGACTGACTGACCAACTCACTGAGGATATTTAGTCACCCCCCCCCCCACGAGGGCATCATGTAGCGCAAGGCCTGTTTTTTAACGTGGGATCTCCGAGCCGGTGGCCTCGGCCCAAAAATATGCCCATTGAACCCGTATAAACGGGTTCAGGGCCGGTTTACCTCCCCGAAAGAGACTCTGTCGCCATTCGGCGTAGCCTCGTTCGGGTACCTCCCCGCCCGAAGGCAGAGAGTTCAACCGGTCAGCTGGTCGTCCGACTTCAGACTGAACTCCGACCAACTCGCTGAACGACTTATTACTCTTACTACTTCTACTTATTATAGGTGGGAGAGTCTATTAACTATAGAATAGGTATGTTCCACTATAGCACTATTAGAAATGTTATTCTACTTGCAAATAGGATAAGTGCTTGTAATTTTGGTATCGCTTATTAATTATAGGCATCAGTCAGTTTCAATAGACTATGGCGTTTAATAGTGCGGCTAGCCAACCCCTGGTTTAGTTTGGTTTCTTTTATGGCATATTAACACCTCAATGGGTTATTTAATGCCGACAAGATTTTTGTTGCTGGCAATATTTCTTTTCTTCAAAAATGTATAGCTGATAATATTTTTTCCTTCAAACATATATTGCTGCTAATAATGTATTGCTGGAAATAATTTTTCCTCAAAAAATTTATCGCTGGTATTAAAACCTATTTTTACACTTTCATAGTGTTTTGACCCCAGTTTGGGGATTAACTATTTGCCCATAGTTGGTATCCTAACAGATGCTACCAACCCGGGTCAGAGTGGACCTGGGAACACAAACAATTAAGAGGTGGTTCCACGCACCTCAAAATCTGATCAGAGGCCTTGCTGTCGGGGGTAGTTTATCGTCTTACCCAGGACGCGCTAATGTTGAAGACGATTGCCCAAGCACATTTCTGTTACTTCGTCACGATGTCTTGCAACTTTAACGGCTTCCGAACGATTTTGTCTACACAATTTCACTTACAAGGATTGGGTCAAACGGTGATATGGTTTTCAGACATTTCTTTTTGTGATGTCAACGAATACTCGTTGTCACTTTCGTAATTCTCGCTGTAGTAGAGACTTTGTAATCGCAGATACAACTATAGTAACGCCAGTGAACAATACTGGTGCCAGAAGCTTTCGAATAACACTTGCACTAATAGTACTTGCTCGATAATATTCGCTCGAATAGTAACCACCGAATAGTAATCCGTATAGAGAAATAGTGATCCGTAGAGTATAGAGGATAGAGTAGAAAGAATGATCAATTAGACACATGGTACCTACTATATATGCGTTTCTTCTATGGTCACGTGGTCTACTTAATTCAATAATGGGATCGTCCGTGTTTGCTCACTGGCGATCTATGTTCAAACTCAAGTGTCGGCAGGGACACTTTATACCTATATAACACTTCCCAACTGTGCCGCTGCATATTCTTGATAAAAAGGCGATGGTGAGGTTTGAACCCGTTTCTCACACGGCATGAATACTAAAGGTCTAACCATTCAGCCAATACTACTACTTGCCAATTTCTGAATATAGTTATCAAAGCATCGTATCTTGTAGTTGTGAATATTTAATAAGGACACTAAAAGATAGTGAATATTTAACATGGTCGGTTTCTTGTATTGTTTTAGAAAATAACTAACTCCAGTTCCCCATGCGCTATTTTTGAAAGAGTCAGAGCAGACCAAGACTTAATCAAATAATTATATTGAAGTTTTCAGCTCTTGTTTTGAAACATGAGAACTCTTATGTAGCAAAGGAATAATATTTAAAAAAAAATTATAATCTAAGCTCTACTTCTGTATGGAGCATTGGTTTTTTTTAAAAATAAAAACAAAAATACTAATACTGTTGCCATTTCTGGGTTGCTCAATCCTCACTTTTCAACCCCAGCAGATTTCAAAAGTGCTTACGCGGCCTTGTGGGTGATGAACTATTCTCCACTCTGGTACCCTTACTCCACAGACGAAACATCGCCAGCCTTTAACTAATGTGTCGCTATTACTATGGCAGATGATCGGACGGGTTACATTCCTTTGTGTCACCAGATCGGACCTTCACAGTTAGGACCCGGCATATCACTCAAATATATACCCCAAAAAGTCACAGCAATGCACATATAATAAAGTAAAATGAATCTGTGGAGAGCCATCATCACCTGCCTCCTAGAGACATAGCATTAACACTTTGAGTCCTAACCACCGATTTACCGGCGGTAGAGAAAAATGACGTAATGCCCAGCCACCGGTTGAGCAGTGGTAGAGAAAAAGGACTTAATGCCTAGCCACCCGTTAAGCAGTGGTAGAGAAAGATGACGTAATGCCCAGCCACCGGTTTAACAGTGGTAGAGAAAGATGACGTAATGCCCAGCCACCGGTTTAACAGTGGTAGAGAAAGATGACGTAATGCCCAGTAACCGGTTGAGCAGTGGTAGAGAAAAATAACTTAATGCCTAGCCACCGGTTGAACAGTGGTAGAGAAAAATGACTTAACGCCCAGCCACCGGTTGAGCAGTGGTAGAGAAAAATGACGTAATGCCCAGTCACCGGTTGAGCAGTGGTAGAGAAAAATGACTTAATGCCCAGCCACCGGTTTAACAGTGGTAGAGAAAGATGACATAATGCCCAGCCACCGGTTAACAGTGGTAGAGAAAGATGACGTAATGCCCAGTCACCGGTTGAGCAGTGGTAGAGAAAGATGACGTAATGCCCAGTCACTGGTTGAGCAGTGGTAGAGAAAAATGACGTAATGCCCAGCCACCGGTTGAGCAGTGGTAGAGAAAAATGACGTAATGCCCAGTCACCGGTTGAGCAGTGGTAGAGAAAATGACGTAATGCCCAGTCACCGGTTGAGCAGTGGTAGAGAAAAATGACTTAATGCCCAGCCACCGGTTTAACAGTGGTAGAGAAAAGATGACGTAATGCCCAGTCACCGGTTGAGCAGTGGTAGAGAAAGATGACGTAATGCCCAGTCACCGGTTGAGCAGTGGTAGAGAAAAATGACTTAATGCCCAGACACCGGTAGAACGGTGGGTAAACACTTGTAACTA